GGTTTTTGTTTGCCAGCCGCCTTGGTCTTCATTTATCTTCTCTGTTTTCGTTGCCTGCTTTTGGGGCGCCACTCGAAGTTGGAAGAGCTTAAAGCATTAGGATGAACGAAAATCAAGGCGATTCCATCACCCAAGTAGGCCTTTTGTTAAAGGAGTACCTTTCATTTGGTTCGGAATTATTAACAAAAATACAATGATTTTATAAAATTTAACCATGAAAATCATACTTATAACAAAAGAAGGAAAGACCGTCAAGAGGACAATTCCAGATGAGCCGGAAGGAGAGTGCCACGATCCCAACTCCACTACAAGCCCTCCAAACGAATCAAATCCAAAGGATTCTGGGAAAAAACCTCGCCCCAAAACCCGGCCAGACAATCAGAAACCAAAAGGCCGTGGGGACAACCACATAAGTTAGATGAGTTAACTACATGGAAGCGGTGTTGTATCCAAACCCATTCTGATGGTATATCCAGTAAGGAGAAGCATTTCCAAGAAGAAATATAAGAGGTTGCAATCACTAGGATTTACTAAAAATTACTTATAGAGATGTTTAAAAGTATGCAACAGAAAAAGTTTTGCTGCCTACTTTTAAGCACCTTTAAGAGTGACTACATCGGCACCCTAACCCGTCTGTCTTTCATTTGTTATGAGTCATAAAATTAAATTGAAATACATTTTTAGGCAGTTAAAACCACATATACAGGCAAAATTCTTATTTAAGGTAAAGGTTAGCTGACCTTAATTTTTCTTACACCCCCTTAATTCTATATAAGCCCAAAGGCCTGTTGTTTTCTTTGTTTAATAACGAATACTGCTCATACATACATAGAATGAACAATCCCTTAAGAAGCTGAAGAATAATTGCCACAATTTATTAAGAGTATTTCTTAAATGCCATATCAAGTGTCCCAATGGGTTGGGGCTTAGGTACATATATAGAACCCATCCCAATCGGGGCGATGCCTCACGTAAGCCGTAATCTCGCAAGTATAAAGCCGAGGACTTTGGCACTTAAGACAAACTCAAACAAAAACAAAAACACACACGCACCCATCTAGCTTTCCAGCTAGACATAATCACTGGGGCCCACGTGCTAGGCAAATTAATTTGGATTCCGTCGGTGAATTTGCCCTAAAACGGAAAAACATCGAGTGGGGAAAACCTCAAAAATATCTCTGCTGCTCAGAGAACATGTATACAGAGATGGAGACTCTTTTTTGGGACGAGCGTTGACAGCAGAAATTTAACGCTTGAAATGCCAAACACACAAACATTTTGACATTCAAAGCACAGATCCTAATACACATGAATATGTTGTGTTGTCCTTGCCCGGTTCTCTGTTCTCCATTCTGAGTTCTCTTGGCGTGGCAAATTTTCCATGAAAATTGCATGAATTGCAGATTTTTCTGGCCCCCTTCCTTTCCCTTTTTTCCATACGCACGAAATGCGCCCGGGCCGGAGAAATGGGACCCCTACTTTCACCCGGAGTCAAGTTGCGTGTGCCGTAGACATTTTTATGGCATGCAGCGAACTGCCAGATGGCAGCTGCCGCTTGCCGCTTGCTGCTTGCCACTTGCCGCAGCATGGGGAAAATGCTTTACAATATAATAGAATTTGCCAGAAACGTGACTTTAACAAGCTCTTAGACATGTAAATACATAAACACACATATGCACTGGCTGTCAAACACCAGCGAGCAGGAATGACTTAATATACTGCAACGCTGATATGTGGACAATGTGGCGTATGCGTGATGTGAGAAATGCAGCGATCGCAGCTCAATTAGTTTTCCGTTCGCCAAAAAGGCGGGCAGGCAGGGCGTATGATTAATGTGGTTTCTATTCAAATGGCCCCGCCCGAAAGTATGCTACAACGGAGTGCCTGACACTTGTGGCATTTTCATGTGGCAGCATCGAGATTAGGAGTAACTTTCGTTGGAATGCAGCCAACTTGCAACCACTCAGGCTTACAGATTCTCAAGTTTGGTCCTGCCAACAAATTGCGGCATTCCCCGATCACAGATAGCAACCAGATTGGCTTTCATTCCAATTACCTTCCTGGGAAAGCTAATCCGGCTAATTGCAGGCCTACATGTGAAACATTCTCCAACATCTCATACAACAAAAGCATGAAAAAGTCTAGGCTTAAATTCAATTAGAAAGCCAGTTCGGTCCAGTAGTTGCCAGAATCTTAATTAAGTAAGCACACGATAAGGATCAAATCGAGTTGGAATGGAATCACACTTGGACAAACGAGGCCCCAAGGAGGCATTCAACTGCTGGACTTAAATCATCAATTTTTCATCCGACTCGACTGCATAAATCAACCTGCCACGTGCCATATGCTAAAACAACTGCCATTGTAGCAGCCACGTTAACCTGGCTCATTGTCGTCCTTTGTTTTTAGTGTCCAACAGTCGAAGGCAGTAAAATATAATGCCAACTCCTCGCGATTCCTGCTACAACCTGCCACCGAAAACCAAAAGACAATTGCGTGACGCGGAGCATTATGGCCACGGCCTGGATTTGACTTTTGGCCAAGACTACCGTACACTGATAAAAAAGAGGGAGTAAATGGAAGGATTTCATATTGAATTTGAATATATTTTGCTGTTTTTATTATGTTTATATTTTATTTAAAACATTTTAACTTGTATTTTAAGGAGAAAGTACACCGATAATAAAAGGAGTAATTATAAATTGTCTTATATTCAATTTAAAAATATTTTGCTGGTTTGAATATATAAATAATTTATTTAAAACACGTTTAATTTTAAGAGGAAGGAATAAAATAACATTTAATGACTTATTACATTTAAAATAAATATGACTAACGTCTTATCTTATGTATTCTAATTCGATTTAACAAGTATAACATTAAATCGTGAATTTCAATATGTTATGCTCAGAATATTATATGTCTGTATTTAATAAAAATATATAATTCGAAGGTTTAAATTCAAGATGCATATATTTCTATCAGTGTACCTTAGTATGTTTGTCGCTGACTGCTATTTGGCCATTTGCCTCGACGAGATTTATGCCCTGCTAACGCTTGATAAATGACTGGGAAAATTTGTAAGTGGCTTCTACTTTTTGTCAACTCGAATCCGAATGCTCGTTGGCCATAAATTCACAGTTCGCTGCTGCCCTGTCATTTTCTCCCTGCGGCTGTGGCTCATTAAAATCCCAAATTAGTCCTGCGAATTAGTGAAATTCTAGATAGCTCCGGTAATTGTAATTGCGGACCAGAACGAAACGTACTGACCAATGGGAAAGGCTAATTCAGTAAGAAATAAGAGACGTACAACTAGGTTTTGTCCAGCGTGTTCCCCTTCAAAATAAATCCATAACAAAGAGAGCAACAATTAAAAGGACAATCAGCCGCAGGCGCCCACTTACAGGACTCGTTGGCTTTTATTAATCGAATTAACTGCGTATTCCGCATGGCGATGCATTGTTGCTAAGTCCTTTCAGCGCAACAATTACCGACTGGCCAATAAATAAGCCACAGAAACACATGCAAATGCAGATAATCAGGGAGGGAAACTCATCCATAAACAGACAGATTAAAACCGTCAACGTCACCGCATTTGCGAGCATTAAAAATTAATTACATTTTAAATGGCAAAAAGATTCATTTTTGCCGGCCTATCTCCAAGCCCACATCTCGTAATTGAAAAGTAAAAATAAATGTCATTACTGTAATTCACTCGGGATGGAATGCGTTTTAGGGCGTGCTGAAAAATGGCATAGCACTCGACCAGCATCGTTGAGATTTTAATTGAATTGTTGGGATCAATGCGCCCACGCACCAGAGTTGCTCACATGGAAATGCTGTAAATTTGTTGCGGTCAATTTTGCGTGTTAATGCCAGTGAAAACCGAAAATTGTTTGCCACTGCCACTACACCATGGATCTATCCCCCCGTTTCTATATATAGTGTTTTCCTACACCCATCTCCCTCTTTCTAAAACTGAGCCGCAGTCGGTAAACGAACCGCAGTAGCCAAGTGTCGAAAATTTGCATCCAATTAAAATGTTTGCTCTAACATATGAACCGACATGAGCTTTTACTTTCATGACCAAAATTCAGTGGGGCGTTCGTTTGGATACCGCCAACCCAAAACTGCAATTAGGTAGTTAGTCCGTGTCAGAATAATAAATTTATATTGGTTTCTTATCAAAGTCCCCCAGACAGGAATTCCACATTTCTTGGTACTTTTAACGAGTATCTAAAAATACAATTTCCTGGAATGTAAGTAAAAGGGGGTTACCTTTTGTTAATCTCTCTATAAAACATTTATTATTGTTTTTGAGTTGCATTTTTAGAGGTTCCATAAAAGTATGTTATCGTTTTAATCGATAATAACAAAGGGCAATCGATAATAAAGTTATAAAAAGTAATATGATATAAACTTGATTAAACAATAACAGTCTTAATAGTAGGTAATAAAATTATTTTTTTTTGTATGCTCACTGTGAATGAGCATTACCTGCACTTTTTCATTCATAAAGCTGGCTATTATATCATGAAATCTGTGAAGAAATGTACCCCAAAAAGATAAAAAGTTAAGGTAATGACACTAAGCATGATCAGAAAATTCTAGAAAAAAAAATTAATTCTAAATAAAATAAAATTGCTAATGTAAGAAAAAATTATAGGAAAAGTTTTTTGACACCTATTAAACATAACAGATACCAATTTGATCATTAACCCTAATTTAACAAAGTACTTTTTTAGAAGTTCGTGTGTAAGCTCATAGAACAAGGGACATTATGTAATGGAAGACAAAAGAATTCAAAGTCATTGATCAAATAATAAACATACTACCAAACACCTTAATTATAATAACTAAAATAATAATCCTTATGTCACTGACTCTTCCCTAAAAAACACACAAGAGCACGTTTCTATGGTATATCAAAGATACGCTTTATACATAAGTGCGCTGCGCAGGCGAATCTATAATAACTTAATTTTCATGTTTTCACTTACCTTGGCTTATGTCAAGTCTAATGGCCAGTTCCCCGAAACACCTCCTAACTCTTTTTTTGTATTTTCGTGTTTTGTTTTCGTTTTCGAGTTTCTTTGTTTTTATTCCGCTTACGAACCCAGAGACGCCTCTGGGCAAAAAGAGCTGCTCAGTGAGCTTTTGGCGTTCGCGGCGAGCGGTTCGCTTGGATACTTCAACGCAATTCAATTGTTTACCAACGCAAAGTGACTGAAAAACAGATAGAAATCAAATTTGAATAAACAGAGACAAGTGACAGTGATTCTTCAAAGGGAAATAAAGCCGAAATGATACAACTTCCAGAGCACCTGGCAACACATTTCTGAACAAAAGATAAAAGCGGAGAGAAAGTAATAAAGCAAATTTGCAAACCCTACTTTTTTATGATCTTAAGGAAACCCTGAGATAAAAAAAGTGTGCCGAGCCTATCATAAAAGTCGCGTGTTTAACCTACTATCAACGAGTTATGATCGAGCTATACAACTACTATTCATGACGTATTTGCTGAATTCACCCAAAACAGTTTTGAATAAAACTAGTTTGAAGGTCTCGCAATTCACCCCTTATTATTTCGGTACATTGCGATACCCTTTCAGTCACTCTATCTTTATTGACACCCTAAAGATTCTTATTGCATGTCTGCAAACTTTATGATTCTTATTCGCCAGATAAGTGAGAGAAAAAGATACCTTTTTTGCAAGATTGAGTCTGTGTCTGGGCGCTAACTTAGTTACAATAAAACATTATATCAGTGTGTCACACTTTTTTATGCAATAAATTAAAACAGCCAAAGCGTTTAGGCAACGTTCTGTCACCGGCAGGAAAGCGCCTCGGGTGCAATTAAATAATTGACTCTTGTCAATATAAAATAATAAAAACCCATTTTGAACGTGTGGGGCTGGCGGGCTTTATCGCGCCACTAAATCAGCCACCTAAAACACCACCACCCCCCACCAAAAAAAAAAATACCAGGGAACGTGCTATCAAGTTTTGTGGTTCGTACTTCACGCTTTGTTTTGTTTTGTTTATTGTTTGGGCCAAGTTGGCAAATTGGCGGGTAATTGCGGCTTGCTCATTCCTCTGACATTTTTGAGTCATACCAGGTTGCAAGTTGCATTGCGCACACTTACTTTCCATTGTTGCAACGAGAACAATCGGCGAAGCAGCTGCGCATGCGCAATACTCAAAATAGTAAAACGCGATCTAGAGCCATCGGAAAGGTAAACAAACCTGGGAATCCCATTCAAACGGGTCGACGAGTTGATACCCTAATGAATTTAAAACCTAATGGTTCCATAACTGGAAATGTGTTTTATAATAGAAAGGAGATAGCTGACTGCATACTTAACACATCTGTCTTCCCAATATCTTAAGTGAATCATCAATCTATCCTCATAAAAGTTCCACTTTGAGTCATAATCCATATCAATTGGTTATAAAACCTGCCGGTAACAGCTTGTTAACCCGTTTTGTTTTCATTTTTGTGTTTTTACGATAAGAAGGCCAATGTCTTGGTTTGTCAACTGGTTTTTCATCAGGAAGAAAATAGTGTAGCACTTTCAATGTTACAAGCCTAAAAACAGTTAAAGGAATGCAACTGTCTTGTTAAGATATTATATTTATAAGTTAGTTATGAGAACATGTAAGAAAATTTTGGAATTATTTATGAGAAAGTTTAGCATAACCGTTAATCATTTTGAGGCTGCTCTGCCCCAGAGATGCAATAAATCAAACCCAAACTCGAGGTATCAGGAAAGTGGTTGTCCCGCATCGGAAACAATTTTTCAAACGAGAAACCCGAGGTGTTGTTATGAATGGAACCCAAGTTCCAAAAAGCCAGACGCTCGGAGACCTTTCCCTGAAAAGGCCAGGAAACTGGTTTCGCCCTGAGGCTTGGCAGCCAAATTGCCAAGCGTTTTGGCCTGCTGCAGTTTACCAGTTTGATGCAGTTTTTACTGCATTCACCCATTGTTATGTAATGCGTAATCGCCTAAGTCAGTGGGTCACTGACTTGCCAGCGCAGTATTTGTCTTTGTCCCACTGAACCGGTAATCGATGCCCATAATTGAGGCCTCAAAACTTGACCACCGGTAGATGGTAACCTTAAGTTGTTGCGATCTAAGTTGAAGGTTAGTGTAACCACTAAAATTGTTGATTGATTTGCAGCTGCAACATGGAAGCCACAGCCAATAGCAACAATAATAACAACGGACACCTGAACCAGGCGTTTGTGGGCTCTCTGAATGCCTCGACCATCTCGATACCAGGGGCATACAAGCCGAATGACTCTTCGAATGGAAAGAAGGTGTCCTCGCCAGGATCTGGAGCAGCGCCAGGAGATAATCAGCCTGGAGTGGAGGCTGGTCAGCAAGGGAAACAGCGGGCCAGTTGGAACAACGACATCGAGTTCCTTATGTCCTGCATCGCACTGAGTGTGGGTTTGGGAAACGTCTGGCGATTTCCCTTCACCGCTCTGGAGAACGGCGGTGGAGCCTTCGTAATACCCTACCTGATCGTCCTGGTTCTGGTGGGCAAGCCCGTGTACTACCTGGAAATGCTGCTCGGCCAGTTCTCCAGTCGCGGAAGTGTCAAGGTCTACGACTTCTCGCCAATCATGAGGGGTGAGTTTAAAAAGCCTTAATAAATGGGTCTCCAATCTCACTATTAAATGAAATGTCAGAAAATATTGTTTTAGATGACTATAGGTACAAACATTTAAAATGCGACTATTTCTTAGCCCAGATAGAAATAGATTTCTTAGCCCAGATAGAAATAGATTTCTTTGAAATTAATATCAATTGCTTGATATAAACCGCAGTGACTTCTAAAGCTTGGCTTACCATCTTTTAATAACACACTTGCTTTGCAATCGAAAATCAATCAATAAGCTCGCGGCGTAAGGACGAATCCGCGATGTGTGTTATAAATGGCTCGATAAATCACAGGATAACTCGTATCTCTTTCCCAACCAGGCATTGGCTATGGCCAGGTTCTGGCCACGGGCATCGTGAGCACCTACTACGCCACGTTAATGGCCCTAACACTGCGCTACTTCGTGGACTCCTTCTACCCCACCCTACCGTGGAGCTACTGCCGGGCGGAGTGGGGACCGGAATGCCTGGACTCTGGTCTGGAGGAAGCCAGCGGGACCTCCAGTTTGGCTAACACGAGCTCAGGTGTGCGCACCACCTCGGCGGAATTCTACTTCACGTGAGTGGGCAAACAGCAAGGGGCCAGCAGGATGTGGCACTCATGTCTCCCATGTACTGCAGGAACATCATTCTGCGCGAGAAATCCAGCATCGATGACGGCATCGGGTATCCCAGCTGGAGTCTGGCTGTGGCACTGGCCGTGGCCTGGCTCATCATAGCGGGCATCATGTTCAAGGGGGTGAAGAGTTCCGGCAAGGCCTCCTACTTCCTGGCCCTCTTCCCCTACGTGGTCATGTTCGTCCTCCTGGTGAGGGCCCTCAGTCTGCCAGGAGCCTTCGACGGGGTCCTCTACTTCCTGCGACCGCAGTGGCACAAGCTCCTGGAGCCGCAGGTCTGGTACGCCGCCGTCACCCAGGTGTTCTTCTCGCTGGCCATCTGCTTCGGGAACATCATCATGTATGCCTCTTACAATAGATTTGGCCACAACATATACAGGTGAGAGGAGATAATGTCCAGTCTTGAGTTAATAATCCAAGTTCATACTGTTCCTTATAGGGATGCCAACATCGTCACCACCTTGGACACCTTCACTTCGTTGCTTTCCGGCGTGATTATCTTTGGGATCCTGGGCAACCTGGCCCATGAGAACAACACCAGCGACATCGCGAGTGTGGTCAATGGAGGTCCTGGCCTGGCCTTCATCTCCTACCCAGATGCCATTGCCAAGTTCAAGGTGCTGCCGCAGCTCTTCTCCGTGCTCTTCTTCCTGATGCTCTTCGTCCTCGGGATCGGCAGCAATGTGGGCATGGCCTCCTGTCTGTCCACCGTGATCAAGGATCAGTTCGGGCACCTCAAGAACTGGACGATAGTGGTGGGCATAGCCCTGGTGGGTTACTTTCTGGGCCTGCTCTACATCACACCCGGTGGACAGTTCGTGCTGAATCTCCTAGACTTCTTTGGAGCCACCTTTGTGGCCCTGGTGCTGGCCATCTTCGAGCTGGTGGCCATTGCCTGGATCTATGGAGTGAAGCGACTCTGCCGGGATGTGGAGTTCATGATTGGCATCAAGACCTCGCTGTACTACCGCATCTGCTGGGCGGTCATCACCCCGCTGCTAATGCTGGCCATCCTCATCTACACATTGGTGTTGTACGAACCGCTGAAGTACAAGGACTACACCTACCAGTCGGGAGTTTACGGTAAGGGATTAACCCTTCTCTTAGCATATCCTGGTTAATAAATTCTTTTTTTTTTAGTTTTTGGCTGGTGCCTGAGTGCCTTCGGCGTGGGCCAGGTGCTCTTCTGGGCCATTCCCGCCGTGCGGCAACAGCCCGCGCATCTGGGTCTCTGGGAACGCATCCGCAAAGCCTTTGAGCCCCTGCCCAACTGGGGGCCCAGCGACCCACAGACCCTCAAGCGGTACCAACTGTTCGTCCAGGAGGGCAACGCCAACGCCCTCTTCCGGCGCAGCAGTATCTGGCACAAAATCTATGACAATATCTTTGGTTAGCATTGAATTAGCAATAAAACTATATACCATTTAATGCCGCAGACTATGTAGCTTTACGAGGTCATGGGATCCGCTGCGGGTTCGGTACTACAGCACAACCCTTTCATAATAAAAATCAGTCCCTGCCCCGGGCTTAAGTGCAAATTAAATGGCAGTTGGGGATGACCTCGGGGCGATCGTAAGACCGTCATGCGTAATATTCTCAGATATGGCAGTCGTAAATAAGTTTGTAAAAGGGATGAAGTTCAGACAAGCAGACCATTTTGTTTATCAGTACTGAATATAATATCAACTTCATTTTGGTTATTTTCAAATTATATCTGTATAATCTAAGAAACTTTGGGTTTAGTTAAGAGCCCCTTAAAAAGAGATGAACCTACATTTTTTCCTAATCTATTTTATGCCAAATTGTAAACTTTTTACATAGCTTCCTGTATCTTAAAATAACTTTTTTGTGTCATCTCTAGTGAGTGCTGGCAAGTGTAGGAACTATAAAAGACAAGACAATTGCAGCCAGAGGCGCTTGCCCCCCTTTTTTCCTTTTTCAA